GCACTGTGTGTATATTGTGTGTGTGTGTGTATATATAAATATATATATACACACACACAAACACAATTTGTGTTTGAATGTAATCATGTTTTTGTATGGAGTATGTGTGTGAATGTTGGTGTTTGAATGCAGTTGTGCATTTGTTTGTAGTGTATACACTTCCACAAACACTGATACGCAGACACATACACTGACACACATGCAAATACAGAGACACACAAATACACACAAATACACACACACACATAAATTCACACTGACACACACAAATACACAGACACTCAAACAATAGCACAGAATACACACACAGACACACATGCAGACACACAAACACACAGATTTACACACCTTAATATACACAGAATGACACTCCTATAGATACAAACACTGACACAAATACATGGGGGATACACAGACACACATACAGACAGATACACAAACATTCAAATACACAGAATGAAACTCATACAGATACAAACACACTGACATACAAATATGCAGACATACAGATACACATGCAGACAAACAGATACATATACAGACACATACATACATACAGAGACAAACACATACAGACACACACATACATTTTACAGAGACACACAGACATACAGAGGCACACTCACACAAACACACACATAAATACTAAGACACATACAGAGACACACACATACATACAGACACACACACACACAGACACACACACATAGAGATACATACAGAGACACACACACATACAGAGACACACACACACACATACAGAGAAACTACACATCAGGGGCGGACTGAGAACCCTCAGGGCCCCCGGGCAAAATAAATCAAGGGCCCCCTTACAGGCCCCACCCATACTCTGCAGCAAGCGCCACCCTTGTCCCGCCTCCAGCCACACCCTACACAATCTTTAGACACAAGGAACAAAAGGGCAATAAGCCCTTCGAGGCCCGAGTAGAGACTACAATTGAGGGCTAATGGGCCATGGAGAGGGGTCTTTCTAGCGGAGGCTATCTCAGTGTCCTTTAGAGAGTGTGTTAGATAGAATCCCCTCCAAGCCCCATTAGAGACTACAATGGAGTCTAAAAGGCTTGGAAGGGGGTCTTTCTAACAGAGCCATCTCAGCGTTCATTAGATATCCCCTGCTGGAAACAGTCGCCTCCAGGCCCCAGTAGAAACTACAATTGAGGGCTAATGGGCCATGGAGGGGATTTCTAGCAGAGGCTAAAGTCTAATGGGGCCTGGAGGGTGGTCTCTCCAACACTCTGGTTCCTATTCACAATATAGCAACACAACATAGCTCGCTGATACCTAAGCCAAGTTGGCTCCTCTTACCTTAATTACTGTTGCTGGCTGGCAGTCTGTGGGCTTGCTGGCTGCGGCTGGCAGGCTGTGGGCTTGCTGGCTACTGCCGGCAGGCTGTGGGCTTGCTGGCTACTGCCGGCAGGCTGTGGGCTTGCTGACTGCGGCTGGCAGGCTGTGGCTTGCTGGCTGCGACTGGCAGGCTGTGGGCTTGCTGGCTGTAAGCCTGTGGCTTGCTGTAGGCCTGTGGGCTGGCTACTGGCCTGTGGGCTGGCTACTGGCCTGTGGGCTGGCTAACTGGCTGGCTACTGGCCAGCCTGTGGGCTGGCTAACTGGCTGGCTACTGGCCAGCCTGTGGGTTGGCTGGCCGGCCTGTGGGCTGGCTGGCTACTGGGGCACTTGTAGATTATTTAAAGAAATAATCCATGCACAATAACCACTACTGCTCCAGAGTAAGTAGTCAAACCGTTTAAGAACAGTTCGACAACTTACCTGGGGTCTGCTGGGATATGAGGCTGTAGTAGGGAATAGGAGCAGTGGTGCAATGTGTGTGAAAGGTTCAGTGTGTGTGTGGGGGTGTAGTGTGTGAATGTGTAGGGTGTGTGGGCAGTGAATATGTAGGGTGTGTGGGCAGTGTATGTGTGTGGCAATGTTAGTATGGGGGGCTGTGTATGGGGTCTGTGTGTATATGGGTGGGCAGTGTATGTGTGTGTGTGTGTGAGGCAATGTGTGTAAATGTGTATGGTGTGTATGGGGGCAGTGTGTGAATGTGTATGGTGTGTGTGTGGGGGCAGTGTGTTTATGGGGCTAGTGTTCACTCTCACCACTGCGACCACCAGGAATCCATGGGGGTTACAGTGTTGAGAGTGAACTCTAGCCCGTAGCTCCAGGGCTAGAGTTGACTCTCGCAAGAGCAGTAACGTTGCCATGGTAACAGCGGCAACGCTCTGTGCTCGCGCAAGAAGGACCCAGAGGAGCTGCAGGGTGAGCTCCCAGGTCCTCTCTTCCTCCCCTGCCCGCACGGTGCCTGCGGACAGGGGAGGGGGGGCATTCTTCCCTCTCTTTCTCCCCCTCCCCCAACTCTCTATTCCCCCTCTTTCTCCCCGTGTCTCATTCTTCCCTCTCTGTCTCTTTCTCCCCCTCCCCATCTCTCTATTCCCCTCTTTCTCCCCGTGTCTCATTCTTCCCTCTCTGTCTCCCCCTCCCCATCTCTCTATTCCCCCTGTGTCTCATTCTTCCCTCTCTGTCTCTTTCTCCCCCTCCCCATCTCTCTATTCCCCCTCTTTCTCCCCGTGTCTCATTCTTCCCTCTCTGTCTCCCCCTGTGTCTCATTCTTCCCTCTCTTTCTCCCCATCTCTTTATTGCCCCCCCTTTCTCCCCCTTCCCCATCTCTATGTCCCCCCTCCCCATCTCTCTATTCCCCCTCTTTTTCTCCCCCCTCCCCATCTCTCTGTTCCCCCCTCTTACTAAAGTCAGAGGGGGCCGGCCGCATTTCATGCTTAAGCCGCCGGACTGGGTGGCAGCCTCGCTGGTCCGGCGGCATTCCTCTCACTAACACTGAAGAAGAAGGAGGAGGAGGAGCATGTCTCTCTGTCATGCTCCTTTGCGGTTCCCACATCCTGTGCTGGGAATTGTGGGAACCGCAGGGAGCATGATAGACACATGCTCCTCCTCCTCCCCCTTCAGTGTTAGTAGGAGGAATGCCGCCGGACCGGCAAGGCTGCCACCCGGTCCGGCGGCTGCAGCATCAAACGGCCGCCTCCCCCCTCACAGTGTGCCACCGGGCCGGCCACCCGGTGGCACCTGCAGTCCCCAAATGCCGCCCCCAATCCAGCCCTGCCGCCGGGCCCCCTGAAGGCGGCCCTGGCGGCGGGCCCCCCTCCCGGCCGGGCCCTCGGACCGTGTCCGAAGTGCCCGACCGGTCAGTCCGCCCCTGCTACACATACATTAAGACACACAAACATTCAAAATGGTTTAGTCACCCTCCTGTTTCCTACCTTTTAGGTGCAGGAGGATGACTTCCCTGGGGTCCAGTGGCTCAATGTATGGGGCACAAATTAGCATTACGAGTTCTTTGCTGAAATGTCAGACCATGTCTAAACTTAAACACTATATAGTATTCCATAGCATTATATTTTTATTGCCCCAAATTGTTTGAGGGATCTTATGAATTCCACTGCCTTCCCTTGGAGTGAAGTCAATTAAGTGAATTAACCCGTTACTTATCTGGAATCCAGCTCTAAAACAGCTTCTCTGCAGACCCATCTACCTCTGCTGACCTCATCAGGTTTTGTCTAATCAAAAACTTCTCATAGAAAAGGTATGTGGAATTTGTGAGCATGTGAGGCAATTGCTGCAAATGCTTCTTCTAGAGGCGCATTGAATCCAATGCATGAGGACATTGGACGTTAAAGAACCAGGTCTGACTCTGTTATTGGTACAGAAGCACCATCTAGTGGCTGTCAGGGAGACAACCACTAGACAAGTGTTTACCCTGCAACGTTAACTTTGTTGCATCTCTAAAACGTTTTACATTGCTGGAGCAAAATGCCAGCACACATTGAGATGAAATGGTCTGGGTGCCTAAAGCGTCCTTTTAATCCACCAATAACCATGACTTAAAAATAGTTTTCAGAATTCAACATTAAAACTGATTAAAATAATTTTTTTATTACACCAGTGGCTGTCTGGTGCCGATAGTGTGCTCTTAATTATGTAAAAAGGACAGAATAAGTAATGAATAAACCGTAATATTCCAAGTGCTGAAAACAATCTCAGCTCAACTAATCAACCCCATTGGGGAATGCCAAAAACAAGACAGCTTCCAACCCAGATCATAAAATAAAAACATACCTTTTTTATCATCGCCAAAATACTCCGATAATAAACATAGAAGGGACAGCAAAAGAGAGAATCGTAACGGACTCACCCGTACTCCGACCGAGTACCTTCCGTTGATGGACGCTTTCTAGTTTGCGCCGAGGACCACAAGCACCGCACCGGACACCACAACTACCGCATACTCCACAACCGCCTAGCTTAACTGGTAGTCTCGCCATCTTCCTTCCACTCTGGATCAGCTTCTGTCCTCCAGGACCATGTGGGGAAAGACCTCTTCCTTCCAACCGGTATGGACCTCCGACAACCAGGACAGTGTTGGGAAGACCTCTCCTCCAGGAGAGCGTATCAGGAACAAGCTCTTAAAAGAGCTTAGTGATTAGTGCTCAAGGGAGTATGCAGAGCATAGCAATCCCCAGTGTGAATATAGCAGTTCCCCTCCAATCACGAGATAAGACTACGTGTTGAGGGTCAAACAGGAACAGAATGCACTGAGGCTTTATTGCTCTTATATACACATTTTCCAACAAGGTTACCACCCACGTGGACCTTGTTGGATATTGAAAACATAAGCGTTACAACCAATCATAAACAGACACACAGTTAAACACATACATTACAGAAAACTCCTCTCCTCTGCCTGTGATATAATTACTGAACACAATGGGCTAACGTAATTATCACAGGCAGGAAAATATACAGTTTTACACAATATTCATAACTTCAAAACTATACATGCAATATTAATAAACATTTTTAGAAACAGTATAACTAGGGAACAAACATATCCAAATTTCATTCAATTTGGTCCAGTAGTTCAAAAGATAAATTGAAGTCCTACTGGCTTTCCTGCCCAAAAGAGTTCCATAGATTTGGGCTGTGCGGTCGGTCTATTACACATAGAAAAAAACACTAAGCCCCATTCGAATGCACGAACGGTTTCCGTGAAAATATCCCATTATAACGTGGCGTTCGAATAGTCGAACGCCGTTCGACTCTATTTGAATGTAATAGTTCTAGGGAAAGTAAAACTTCAGCAGTGTTCGTGCCACTGAGTAGCCAATTTCAGTTCCACGAATTCGATGGCAAAACACTGCTGACCACGTTCGGCTGAATTCAAATGGCCACCACCACGTGTTTGGTTTTCCGAATGGCGGCCACTTCGACTGCTTCGGCACTTCGGCTGCATCCGAAGTGCCATAACAAAAGTACAGATCCTTACCCAGAGCATTTAAAGGGCCAGAAACAGTCACATAAAAGTCCATAAGCCCAAATAGTGTTTTTAAAGGGCAAACTCTCCCAGGGGCCATAGTCACAAGGCAAGAGGCTGGCAATTAGTCCTCTTCAGGCACCAGTGGCAAACGGCACTTCGTCACAAACGTGGACCACCTTCTAACAAGTTTTGTGCAATAAGTGCTTCATCCGAGAAGACACAGGTAAGTACAATAAGTACAAAAAAATTGGGGAGGTGTAAGGGAAAACACACAAAAGGGAGAGTCATCATACATAATTGGAATAGAACAATTAAATCCAAAGATTAAAACATTTGCTTTTATAAGGTACTCAACCAACAAGTGATGTCAGAGAAAGTCGCATTGAAACGTCGTGACTAACATGGTGACTACCAACAGATTATTAAATAGCAAATTGTGGTCAAAATCCACTAAGTAGAAAAAGTAAAGATATAAACATTATTGTCACATTCCAGGGAGCATAATGCAGACTGACGGCATTAAAACACCATACTAAAACCACGGACTTGCTACATTAATACAAACATCAAACGATCAGATTATAAAAAATGTAGTAATTATAGTATAACCAAGGAAAAGAGTGGCACAGGTATTTAAAGAGATAGTGCATACCTAATGAACGATCTCAGGTCTTCAACTATATGGGACTGTGTCCAGCAAGCAAATGAAAGGGTTAAAAACCATGAGATAGATGTTTGCACAACCTATATAAACGTTTCATTATCTACAAAATAATGTAAAATGATTTACACTGGAGAAGGATTAAATAAAACACAGACCGGGTTATTTATAAAGTGAATTTTAAATTTAAGGTGGCATTCAGTTCAGCTGCTCTGGACTTAAATTTAAAATGTATTTAGAATTCTCATATTCGTGAATAACTCTCTGGAGTGATTCCTTTTGTCCTCCTCCGCCTCCCAACAGAGGTCCATAGAACTACAGAGGTCCAGAAGGTGCTTGCGAATTGTTTCACTATGGCTCCCCGAGATTCGTTATCTTCTTTCTCTGTTATTTTATTTATAAACTGTCGACATATCCTCCATCGCTTTACAATGGGGTAATAATACATACAAGGATACGATGGTAAGTGTGTCCACAGCCATGGTTATTGCTTATTCTATTTGCTCCACATCAAGAAGCTGTATAGATGCAGGGCTCATATCCAATTATTCCACTGAGATGTATTACTATTATTTATTATAATGAGGTTGAAAAATGTTTTCTTTAATGATATATTATTTATCTCATTTCTCCTGATGAGCAGTAACGTGAATTTATTTAATGTTAATTTATTTGTGCAAGTTGTGCTGGTCACTTATTATCATCATTTGTCAATATGTAAGCCTTCAATGTCGCTACGTATTGCTCTAACAGAGTCCGGTAAAGTCTTCATAAGTTCATGAAAAATCATCAGTGGGTCCAATCTAAGAATAATAAAAAGATGTCAATTTTAATTTTCACATTTCCTTTAAATATCATATTTTTGTTATAAAAAAATGCAGTTCCCTGGCCACATAAATACTGGCCATATAAATACTCATTCTAAATTACTACTATTAGGTATTGCATTTTAAAAACTCAAATGTGTTAATGTTATAGATTTAGGAGTGGCCATTTGTGCATTCAGTGAATTATTACCCAGACTTGTATATGGAGTCAATTGTCAACCTGTATTACTATGGTAATATATGGCATATTCCATGATGGGTTATTCAATAAACCGTGATTTGCCCAGAATTGTCCAGAATTATCCAAAATTGAATTTAGTCAATTGAAAACTGAATTGTTAAAAAGATTAATTTTAATATAGCCAAGGTGTGATTGTAGTTGAGTTATAGAACTGTTTTCAAATCAGAACTTTCTGCCCTTATTTTGCAGTTTGGTTTTCAATTTACTACAACATTCTTTGAAGAGGAAAACAAAAATAAGGAAAAATATTGAAAATTTACACCTGAACGTAATAACAAAAAGATGAAAGGAGGATGGAAAAGGAAACTTATTTTTTTAAGATCCCTGATAAAGGACACTGACCATAGATTGCCACAACAACAGCCCGTCACCTCTGATTGTTGCTAAGGCAGAGAAAGTTTGTAATATTAAAATGGACATTCGACGGCTAGAACAGTGATTATACGAAAATCAAGGACTTGTTTTTTTGTAAATTTGAATTTTGCCTTGACTTCCTGGCAATTTACACTTTAGAGAATAGAATCTACTCGGCACTGGACATTTTAAATCTAAATTACAGAGTATTCACTAAACTGAGAGATGTCGAGAATTCAAAGTGAATTTTAAATTTAAGTTTTGCTTTCAGTTTTGGCCTTAAATATAACATTCAGTGAATAACCCTGTAAGTATTTGGATTCAGAATGTCTACAATTTGCTTTGGGATAAGTTGGCGAAGTCTTACGATATAAAGAGATAATGACATTTAGTCTGAAATACCTGATCATGGAGCTCATCAAAGAATGTTCACAGACCGAGTCCCTGGACTTCTCTCCGCAGCATGAATACGCACCGTCTGTGTAGGTTCCGCAATGTGACATGAACAATCCAAATGCAAGCTCAATGTCATATGTAGTGAGCTTGACTGTTTCATTGTTTAGGATTATGTTCCCTGTTTTATCTGTCAAGGATTTAGGAACAGAATCATCGTACCCCAGAAAATGAGCAACCTCGTGTATTAAAGTTCCAGGGCGAGAATTGATGTCTAAGAATTCTGATTGTTTCCAAAACAATGGACACAAATAAATTACTCTGTCACTCAAGTTACTGTAGACGTAAGCTACGGTTCTGTCATTTCTTAGACTTATATTCTTCTTAAATGACACTTTCTGGAGTTCATCGATGAGCTGTTGAACGAGATTTGGACTAATGATTGGAAGATGCCGACTTAATTCACTCAGCTCTTCTGGTTTCTCTACCAAGAGATGGTCTTTTTTGTTTAGAGCATCAGTCAGGATATTAAGGGTTCTCCGTTTTGCTTCCTCTGCCTGTTTCTGCTCATCCTCACTCAAAACAGATTCATCTGATATTCTCCATGGCCGTTCAGATATAGAACAAAAAGATGAAAGGAGGATGGAAAAGGAAATGTTTTTTTGTTAATTAAGATCTCTGATAAAGGACACTGACCATAGATTGCCACAACAACAGCCCATCACTTCTGATAAGTGCCAAAGCAGAGAAAGTTTGTAATATTAAAAGGGACATGCGAAGGCTAGAAATGAGATTAGACAAAAGTCAAGGACTTGATTTTTGCAAATTTAAATTTTACTTTGAATTCCTGGCAATTTACACTTTAGTGGATATAATCTGCTTGGCACTGGACATTTTGAATCTAAATTAACAAAGGATTCCCTAAAATGATATCGAGAATTCACAGTAAATTTTTAATGTAGAATGAAAATAGCCAAACTGAAAAAAATGTCTCCAAGTCAGATTTGCTTTTAGTTTTGGCCTTAAATATGAAATTCAGTGAATAACCCTGTAAGTATTTGGATTCAGAATGTCTACAATTTGTTATTGGATACATTGGTGAACCCTTATGATATAAAGAGATAATGACATTTAGTCTGAAATACCTGATCATGGAGCTCATCAAAGAATGTTCACAGACCGAGTCCCTGGACTTCTCTCCGCAGCATGAATACGCACCGTCTGTGTAGGTTCCGCAATGTGACATGAACAATCCAAATGCAAGCTCAATGTTATATGTAGTGAGCTTGACTGTTTCATTGTTTAGGATTATGTTCCCTGTTTTATCTGTCAAAGATTTAGGAACAGAATCATCGTACCCCAGAAAATGAGCAACCTCGTGTATTAAAGTTCCAGGGCGAGAATTGATGTCTAAGAATTCTGATTGTTTCCAAAACAATGGACACAAATAAATGACTCTGTCGCTTAAGCTACTATAGACGTAAGCTACGGTTCTGTCATTTCTTGGACTTATATTCTTCTTAAATGACACTTTCTGGAGTTCATCGATGAGCTGTTGAACGAGATTAGCACTAATGATTGGAATGAGTGGAAGATGCCGACTTAATTCACTCAGGTCTTCTGGTTTCTCCACCAAGAGATGGTCTTTTTTCTTCAGAGCATCGGTAAGGATGAACAGAGTTCTTTGTTTTGCTTCTTCTGCCTGTTTCTGCTCATCTTCACTCAAAACAGATTCATCTGATATTCTCCTTGGCCATTCAAATATAGAACAAAAAGATTAAAGGAGGATGGAAAAGGAAACTTTTTTTTGTTAAATAAGATTTTTTAAATAAGATCCTTGATAAAGGACACTGACCATAGATTGCCCGTCACCTCTGATTGTTGCTAAAGCAGAGAACCTTTGTAATATTAAAAGGGACATGTGAAGGTTAGAACTGTGATTAGACAAAAGTCAAGAACTTGACTTTTGCACATTTTAATTATGCTTTGAATTCCTGGCAATTTACACTTTAGTGGATAGAATCTGATTGGCACTGGACATTTTGAATTTAAATAACAGAGGATTCACTAAACTGAGAGATATCGAGAATTTACAGTGAATTAAAAATTTTAGGGGAAAATAGCCAACTGAAAAAAATGTCTCCAAGTTAGCTTTGCTTTCAGTTTTGGCCTTAAATATGAAATTTAGTGAATAACCCTGTAAGTATTTGGTTTCAGAATGTCTACAGGAAGCATGTCACACTCAAAGGCTAGCATGGGCCAAATAAAAAAGGTTTAAGTGTATGTGGGCCGCAAAAAAAAAAAAACACCTTACATTTTCATGGGAATGTAGGTTTGTTTTGAAAAGTACAGTACAATAAAAAACAGTCCCACTCTCTCTACTAAATCCCAGCACTCCCCTCTACTAAACCCTGGCCCTTGTTTACAAACAAAACAATATTAGCCAACAAGCAAACTCCACTCACATTGCCACTGCCAGTATGCAACTCCGGAGTCCAGCCTCTGGTATACCCCAAATGGCACTTTCCACACCCTGTGCCAAAGCGGATCCTCATGTTACTACTTGAAACCCTGTGAAGATGGAGCATGTTGACATCACGTTGGAATGTGACGTGGCGTTATGTGCCTCCGTGCAACTCCAGGTCCTCCACTGTCCAGCTGCAGCCATCGCAACACTGACCAACACACACTCACTGACAGACACACACACACACTGTCAGACACACACTCACTCACTAACAGACACACTCACTGACAGACACACACACTCACTTTGTCAGACACACACTCACTGACTGACAGACACACACTCGCTGACTGACAAACACACACACACACACTCACTCACTGACAGACACTCTCTGACAGACACATACACTCTCTGACAGACACACACACATATTCAGTGGCGGACTAAGGGGGGGGGCGACCTGGTAGGGGGGTGGTCTGAAGGCTAATGGGGGACATGTGAGCTGCACCCCATGGCAGCTGGGGTGTCGCACAACTCACATGGAGAGACCAGAAAGCTGAACTGGCCGCACGGAAGGAAGAAGGGGGTGGAGCTACGGCCATTTAGGGGCAGAGCCTATCCGAGAGCGGGGGCGCTGCTGTAACTGCTGCACATGGAGGTGCAGCAAGAAGAAATCCCTGCTCCTCCACCTAACAGGCTCCAAGGGAAGGACTTCAATGAATTCACTCCTCCAGCCCACACTGTCTGTAAGTAAGAGAGTGTGTGTAACTGTCTGCCTGTAACTGTGTGTGTGTGTGTGTGTGTAACTGTCTGCCTGACCCTGTAACTGTGTGTGTGTGTGTGCGTAACTGTCTACCTGTAACTGTGTGTGTGTGTGTGTCTGTAATGGTCTGCCTGTAACTGTGTGTGTGTGCATAACTGTCTGCCTGTAACTGTGTGTGTGTGTGTGTGTGTGTAACAGTCTGCCTGTAACTGCGTGTGTGTGTAACTGTCTTCCTGTAATTGTGTGTGTGTGTGACTGTCTTCCTGTAATTGTGTGTGTGTGTGACTGCATGCCTGTGACTGTGTGTGTGTGACTGCCTGTGACTATGTGTGACAGTCTGCCTGTGACTGTGTGATGCTGTCTGTGACTGTGTGTGTGTTTGACTGTCTGCATGTAACTGTGTGCGTGACTGTCTGTAACATACTGTGTGTGTAACTGTCTGCAACTGTGTGCGTGTGACTAGCTGCCTGTAACTGTGTGTGTGGCTGTAACTATGTATATGACTGTCTGCCTGTGACTGTGTGTGTGACTGTATATGTGACTGTCTGCCTGTAACAGTGTGCATAACTATGTGTTACTGCTTGTAACTGACTGTGTGTGTGTAACTCTCTACCTGTAACTGTATGTATGATTGCCTGTGACTATATGTGTGACTGTCTGCATGTGACTGTGTGCGTGTGACTGTCTGCTTGTAACTGTGTGCCTGTAACTGTGTAACTGTGTGTGAGGGGGTGCAGGGATTTTGTAGAAGGGGGTAGGGGTTTTAAAAAGTTTACAAACTTGTCCAATACATTTAAAAAAAATGTAAAAAAAGATGTAAAATTTAAAAAAAAAAAATTTAAAAAAAGAACACTTTTCTAAAAATGTAGAAGTTGTTTTTTGTTTTGTTTTATGGAGGGGGGAGGGGCAGGGGGGTGCCAAACCCCGGACCCGCCCCGGGTGCCACATGCTCTAGGTACGCCCCTACACATACTGACAGGTACACACACAATGACAGACACACAGACACACTCACTGACAGACACACACACTGGCAGACACACACACACATTACACATTCAGAGATCAGCCTTTGGTATACTCCCAATGACCCTGTCCACACCCTGTGCCAAAGAGGATCCTCCCGCTACTCCTTGAAACCCTGTGAAGGTGGAGCACATTGACGTCACGTCGGAATGTGACGTGGCTTTATGTGCCTCCGTGCACCTCCAGGTCCTCCACTGTCCAGCCGTGACCATAGCAAAACTGACCAACACACACTCACTGACAAACGCACCAATCACTTTGACAGACTATCACTCACTGACACACTCACTGACAGACACACACACTGACAGACACTCACACCGAAAGACAAACACACTGACAGACACACAGACACACACTCTCTGACAGACACACTCTCTGACAGACACACACACACTCTCTGACAGACACACACACACACTGACAGGCACACAGACACACTCACTGACAGACACACACACACACACAATCACACACACAAACACACGCATTTACATATTCTTGCACACACTCACATAATTTTATTTATTGTTCCCTACCTATGGGAGCTTGTATGGGGCCTCTCCATGGGGTCCGGTGGAAATCTTCTCTCAGGAGGTCTCCTACCTGCTCCTCACTACTTCCTAACATGCGCAGTTTAGTGATGCCGGGCCGGAATGACGGCACTCGGCATCACCACAGAGGGGCGTGCGAGGGAGCAGTGAGGAGCAGGAAGACTGAGCTCCCTCGCTGCCGCTAGCGACCTCTCCTCCCTGGGCGGGTAAATTTTAGCAGAATAGGCACCTACAATATAAGGAGAGCAAGTGCCTACTCTGCCTTAGTAAGCATGTCAAACTAGCAGCTCGCCGGGCTGCAAAGAGATTTATTGTGGGCCGCAAGTTTGACATGCTTGGTCTACAATTTGCGATCGGATAAGTTGGTGAACCCTTATGATACAAAGTGATAATGACATTTTGTCTGAAATACCTGATCACGTAGCTCATCAAAGAATGTTCACAGACCGAGTCCCTGGACTTCTCTCCGCAGCATGAATACGCACCGTCTGTGTAGGTTCCACGATGTGACATGAACAATCCAAATGCAAGCTCAATGTCATATGTAGTGAGCTTGACTGTTTCATTGTTTAGGGTTATGTCCCCAGTTTTATCTGTCAAAGATTTAGGAACAGAATCATCATACCCCAGAAAATGAGCAACCTCGTGTATTAAAGTTCCAAGGCGAGAATTGATGTCTAAGAATTCTGATTGTTTCCAAAACAATGGACACAAATAAATGACTCTGTCGCTCAAGTTACTGTAGACGTAAGCTACGGTTCTGTCATTTCTTGGACTTATATTCTTCTTAAATGACACTTTCTGGAGTTCATCGATGAGCTGTTGAACGAGATTAGCACTAATGATTGGAATGAGTGGAAGATGCCGACTTAATTCACTCAGGTCTTCTGGTTTCTCCACCAAGAGATGGTCTTTTTTCTTCAGAGCATCGGTAAGGATGTTCAGGGTTCTCTGTTTTGCTTCCTCTGCTAGTTTTCTTTCATCCAAACTCAAAACAGACTCAAAGACTATTCTCCTCACCATGTCACATATAGAAAACATTGTGGTAGATCCTCCATTGCCATCAAAAATTATTTCTCAGTCTACAGAGCTCCTTCTTTATATGCTTAGTACAAACAGACGGGGAATACCCAGAAAACAAATCTTCAATGTTTTCAGACTTTGGTATATAGAACGAAATGTCTTTCACTTTCATTTCAGTTTCCCAGAAAAGGTTTATCAAATCTCGCCAATGTTGTGATCATCAGTTATCAACAATAACCAGAGAGTTCTGGATTAAATTGGTAACTGCTTTATAAAGAAGTGCTAAATCTCAATTTTTTTTACAACTATGTAACCCTTTGCTTTTCTGCATTTGGAAGAAGGAAAGTATGGACAGAGGCCACATTTAACTTTGACGCTAACAGGGATTCTGAATTTCCACCAAAATCTGGAGATCGGAACATTTTGCTCCACTCACTGATTCTGTGTCTCAAGAAACCCACCCCACAGAGTAGATGGGGTCACCACCCAAAAAAAACACTGTCAAACACAGAGGATAAATTAAATATAGAACTGTAGATAATATATTGAATTACCATAAACACACTAGGTGCAAATAAACATAAACAGTGCAAAATAATTGCTGACATGATAACCTCTGCTGCTGTAATATCTCGGTCCTAAATAGTTTCTGCAGCCCCACAAACAGTCTGTATGTTCTGCATACAACCCCCACCCACCATTTCAGTGGTCCAGTGTCCAGGGAGGTGAGGGGGGAGAGAGGGAGGGACTGGGACACATGGAAGGGGGTGGGAGAGAGGGAAGGATGGGATGCATGGAGGAGAGGGGGAGAGAGGGAGAGATGGGACATATGGAGGGGCTGGTAGCGAGGAGGGTATGGGAAATATGGAGGGGCTGTGGGGGTCGAGGGAATTGGACACATTGAGGGGCTGTTGGGCAGAGGAAATGTGACATATGGGAGGGGCTTTGGGGTCAAGGGAATGAGACACATGGAGGGGCCTGAGCGTGGGACTGAGGCACAAGGGGGGAGTGAATGAGACACCGGGGGAGGGAGAGAGGGGAGGGATGAGACGCATGGGAAGGGGGAACCCCAGGGCAATTTTCACACTAGGGTGGATTCTAGTTATGCCTCTGCTTGTGTCCCATGGTTGGTGCACAGTGTTGAGGTCTTTTGTGTAAGTAGTGCTACCCTGATGTATTTTATGTTGCTGATAGCAATAACATTTTACTCAGACTCTGTAATAAACCCGAGGTCCAAGGCAATACTTCTAATTGTTTTCTTTTATTCCAGTCACTCGGTAAGGATGAGACCACATGTAACTTAGGATAACTCTTGCTCACCAGATTCCTGGGTCTTCGATGCAGCACTCATCAGCTGGTAATTAGCAAAAGACTTTCTTTGTAGCAGATACTGAAACAGCAGTTGCGCCTCTCATACTTTCTATCTCTGCAGATCATGAAAACTCTATGGTACAGGGTGTTGTCCACCATTGGTGGTAAGTAGGAGACTGGTACACTCTATAATTACAGGAATGAGACCAGCAGCTCCTGCTCTGCTCTCTGCCTGACATGCACCAATTGGTGTGGAATGTCTCACAATGTCCAGCAATACCCCCTGATTGATCCCCAGACTTACTGACCTCATTGGAAGCCAATCAACTGAGTGCAATCTACTAAAGGGTGTAATATTAGGGCAGGGCCAGTGCAGGGATCTTAGCTCCATCCAATCATGCAGATTGATACACACGCTGGCTTAAGTAGATACACACTGACCCCTGCAGACACAATGACCCATGCAGACACACACATACAAACACACTGACTTATGTAGGCTGACACACACTAACCCATGCAAACACACACAGTGGCCCATACAGACACACATACACACACAGTGGCCCATATAGAAACACACATACAGACACTGACCTATACAGACACACACATACACACACACAGTGACCCACACACACACATACTGGCCCATAAAGACACACACACTGACCCATAGAGACACACACATACACTGACCCATACAGAAACACTCTGACCTAAGAAGACTGACGTAGACAAACATAATGACTGAAGCAGACTGACACACATTCTCTGAAACAAACACTGCAAGGTCCACTTAAACATCTTAACTTAAAAGGTCTTTCCAGCTCCCTAAACAACTTTAGCTTGCTGAAAAGCTTTATGTGTGAAGAGTGTGGCCTCTTTTTTCATTTTGCAAAAAGCGCAGATTTCAATAGAAATTGCACTTTTATGAATCAACATGGTTGCACCCACTTGGCTTTCAAACAGATACCGGCCCTGTTACTTCCTGGTTTTGTTAGCTCAATGCAGCTGACCTTGAGAGGCAGCAATTGCCCAGAACACCTGACTTACAAAGACTTCTCATTGAGCTGTAATGGAAGTCTGTGATTGGACAGCCACAGAATGTCTGGGCGGGGTTAGAAGGGGAGGGCCTGCAAAGGCTGCAGACAAGAGAACTGCAGTTTTTGCAAGCTGATTTTAGATATATCCCTAATGAATGAATGCATTATTAAATGCATGCATGTTTTCATTTGGGGTATATCTACTAAACAGTTATTTTTATTTCTTTTGTATTTGGGCAGTGGAGTGTCCCTTTAATTTGATTTATCAGTTTGCTGTGTGTCCCAGGAATGATCCATCTTGATGTGGCCTGGCTGCCTTCACTCCCTGTCTCAGCGCAGTCCCCACTATACTCCCACCCACAGCAAATGTTTAGCAGGGCTGCCTGGCTCCAAGTAAGGTCTAAGGTGGAAGCTGTCCGGTGTCAGGCGCTAGTCTACAGCCATTTAAATGCTTCTTAGCGCCTTTTGCCATGGCTGCTGACGTAATATATAATTTGTCGAACATAATAGAGGGACAGCCCAAATTAAATAAAGCCATTGCCGGCGCCCACCCTTAGCAAGCGCCCTAGGCAGCCGCCTATTAGGTCTATAGGAAGCGTTGGTCCCGTATTAGGGTTAATGTTAAGGTTAGTTAGATAGTTTCAGAGTCAGTTAGGGTTAGGCTAGTTTTGGGGTTAGGGTTAACATTAGCATTAGGGGTAGCATTACCAATAGGGTTAGGGTTAGCATTGAGTTAGAGTTAATTAGGGTTAATCATAAAGTTAGTGTGAGGTAGAGGTAATTAGTGCCGATCTACTAAACAGTGAACAGTTAAAAATGTTAATTACTAAAGTGACAATTCAAAGTGAATTTTACATTTAAAGGTGGAACACAAATATGTGTTCCTATATTGTTAAAATCACCATCTAGCCCTCCTGGTCCCCCTAAATATAGTAAAATCTTACCTTTATTCCAGTCTTCTACTGCTGGCTCTGCCCGTGATCTGCCAGCTTGGCTGACATCATCGGAAGTGGTGATCGCAGCCAATCACAAAGCTTTCTCATTGGAAAGCATGGGATTGGCTGAGCTTGTCAAGTAGGCAGATCAGGTGCAGAGCCAGTACAAGTCAAACACAGCTCTGTCCAATCAGCATCTCTTCATAGAGATACGTCAAATGTATGGGGAACGTTCAGTGTCTCCATGCAGAGGGCGGAGACACTGAATGTTAGTCACACTGTGCAGCACTGCCCCAGGAAGCACCTTTAGTATCCATCTGAGGAGTGTCCAGTGCAGGTATCCCTAGGCTGTAATGTAAACACTGCTTTTTCTATGAAAACACTGTGTTTACTGCACTTTGAAATTCACTTTGAATTCTCACTTTAGTAATTAACCCTGTTAGTATTAGTTAGGGTTAGTTATGCCTAGAGCTAGGTTTAGTTAGGGTTTGCTAGGGTAATCTCGGGCCGTTCTACTTAACAGGGAGGGTCAGTGTTAATTAGGCTCAGGCTAAGTTAGGAATATATTAGACTAAGTTTAGATTGGAATAAGGTTAAGGAAGGGTTAGAAGATTTATCAAAGTTTGACACCGGTCAGTATGGTGACACAGAAGGTGTGACTTCATTAAAGAACAGTTCTAGGAGCAAACAAAGATTCAATTAGGGCTCCTCTCAAATTTGATCCTCTATTTTTCTCCAAATCTGGGAAAGGTAGGTACATATGGGGTTTCCAAAAAAAGCCTTACCTGTCATTTAAAAAAAATAAAAATGTTACATTGTGTATGGGTGCACTAAAAGAGAAAGTGTTAAAGGAATATATAACAAAAGTGCCAAAAAAGCACATGGAATCCTGGAAAACCATTGGCTAAATGTAAATCGCTTTATGACCTAAAAGCTTCATGTGGTTAAGGGCAAAGTACATCTCAAGGTTTTCAAAATAACTCAGGTACTTTTTTTTATCACAATGGAAATTTCTCAGATCATGTTGGATCTCATCCCAGTAAACTAATATTGCTTCATGGGGAGAGACACCAGACTCAATTTACCAGCAAACACAGTTTCAGGGTGTCAGTACGTACACAGGGCATCTTATCCATGCCAGGGCACTTCAACTGGGCACACAGGCTCCCTTAGATCAAGCACTGACATTAGTTATAGCACAGAATGCCCTCTCTCTGGTACTGCCATCTCCTCTTGGCTGCTCTGCCTTGAGATGGATATTTTAAACACTAAAACCATTTTAGCTTACTGCATTTGCCTAAATTTTGACATTCAGATTTAACAAATTTAAACCTAAGTCTTTACAGATGTTTAAACAGCCACTAGATGCTTACTTGCAAAAACATAATCTTCAATGATATAATTTTTCAATTGTGGGGTAATTGCTTATTGATCCAAGGATAAATCTGACTGCCATTTTGGGGTCAAGAAGGTTTTTTTTCCTAGTTTGTTGCAAAATTGGAAGTGCTTCAAACTGTTTTTCCCCTTCTTTTGGATCAACAGCAAAAAACAAATGTGAGGAACGTTGAGGGACACGTCTCTTTTCAGCCTGTGTAAGTATGTAACTAACTAACTATGTAAATTCACCAAATGTTTGAGTTTAGTAAATAACCCTGATAGTGTCAAAAGCTTAGTGTCAGTGTCAGTGTCAGGCTAGTGAATAGGAGCT